CATTCCCCCCCCCCCCCCCCCCTCGGTGTTTGCAATCGGGGTTGGGTTTTAGTCGCTTGGTAACGACGTTGTAAAACACGCTGATCGCTTCGTGAGCTCGACAACCAGGTTACCGCTTTTTTTTTTTTTCGCGGTAACCATAGTGGTGGTCGAGTAGATAATGTTGTGCGGGGTCGAGAACCCTCACTCCGACTAAAGGGGATGATCGCACGTTGTGTTAAATGGGCCAAGCACCCTCGAGGCAGTTACACAATGCTTACAACTGTCTGTGGAAGTGAAAGCACCAGAAAATAAATTAAGTCATTCGCAGCTAGCTGTCATCCGTCGCAAGGAAGTAAGCACAAGATGCCGAACACCCTTAGCAGGATGCAGTGCACCCTCCATGCGACTCGCCGAATACCTCACGGCGCTTCGCGCTTGGTGATGTGAGAGCCTGGTCCTGTGAGAACCCGGCGTGCTCCGTCCCAGCTTGGTAGGGATGCGAGGTCAATGGTCTAACGACTACGGCATCACGACTATCCGCACCCCCCCCTCGTACGGGGCCAACGAATTTAAATCGGACCGGGTGCGTATGACTTCAATTTAGTGTATATAGGAGAGGTACGGATTGCTCCTATACAACGCCCGAGAAGGCTAGCTTTCAGCCAACAAGGCCTACCCTTCCAGAGATGACCTATTAGATTCGATATCCAGTGGCATACAGGGTTAAATCGGTGGCCCGGTGCATTTGTAGGCGCTGGAAATGAGGATATGCATATTGTAGGTCTTAACGAAGAAGTCAAATCTCCATTGCACAGTAGTTGGATATAATAATACGAGAGTTGGACGTGCCCCAAAACGAATTGAAATGGCCTGTGAGTCTTAACGGCAGATCTGCCAAATAGAAACGAATCTCTGCAGCCCACCGCGAACAACCCGAGAGGTCCGCGGCTTGCCAACTGCCAGATTGCTATTGTGACGTACTGTTGTGACGTGGCCACACCACATGGGGAGCTATCGCTCCTGAGAAGCACACACCAAACGCGTACATGACCTCTGTGCGGTATTGACACGATGTCAGTGCATGTGAGACTTTGAATCGAGCCTCGTCCAACGGAAAGCCACCAATTCGTCTGTGCATTGGAGGTTCGACAACGCACGGGGGAATGTCCCACAGACCAACATACCCCACACACGTGTTATTTCGGCGCCAGTCACGTGCAACAACGATGCGCAGTCACCCCTGCTTTGGGTTGGCTTTTGTGCTCTCTACTCTGTGCTCGGCGGTGTGCGACAGTAGTGGATGGAGCTTGTGTGGATGGCGGTACGTGGGCACGCGCCGTGCATGCGAGTTAGACCGCGTTTCGTCATATTTCCGGTTCACCCAAACCACGTCGGTTCGATTAATTCATTTCACCTATTTTCAAATCCCGATTTGGGTTTGGGTCATCCTGTTTTTAGTCCTAAAAGAGTGGACCGGTGGAAGAATTTTCACCCAATCAGCAAGAGAGTTCTTTGGATCTTAAAGTCCTACAACGAAATTTGGATATGATTTCGAGGTTTGATCTCTTCGTTAAGACCTACCCTCTCTGTGAAAAGGCGGCAGAGAATTTTCGTTTGGTTGTTTTTTGAACACATCTCCCAACCCATAGATGCCAGAGGGAATGAGGGCTGTCCTAGACAGAGTGTTGGTCTGACGACCTCGGGGTGCTGTCGTCTGGTAGGTAATTCGACCGAGCGGAGTCGATTGCCGTGGAGAATGAGACTTGAATCGACCGTGTTCATGGTGAAACACAACATACGGCGCATCGTTTGTCTTGCAAAATCTAAATCTACGACAAAAACGGGCAGTCTTTCTGTGAGGTTAGGCTGAGTCTTACGGCGTGATTATTTCCGGATTGGATTTTGGGGGGGGGTCCTTTTCTGAGCCAAAAAAATAATTTGGGCGTCTTACGGGTAGGAAAATGGCAATTTTCCAACAGCGCAGTTTCCAACATCGATTCTGGCCGGCCTGTTAGAAAATTAGCCCATTTTCCAACAGCGATCTTGTTGGAATATCGCTGTTAGAAATGGGGGGGGGTACCCCCTGGTCACACCCCGATCGTGCCAGAACGAGGAACTACACCGTCTGCTGGCCTAACAGAGGCCAGTATCATGAGGCCATGCACAAGCCCTCTGCAGGTATCTAAATTCAGGGCGTTCGTCGTGCTGGCTGCTGGCCTAACAGAGGCCAGTATCATGAGGCCATGCACAAGCCCTCTGCAGGTATCTAAATTCAGGGCGTTCGTCGTGCTGGCCGCACACGAGCCGAAAACGTCAACCCTGCCACATTGCTCTGCTGACGTTCTTGCCTTTGGGCCGAAAAGAGCCGTTTTTGCGCCTGCTGCATATGTGACCAGTTTAAACGCATGCCAGAGAGAGGCCTTAAGCCGTCGACATCCACAAACTGCAGCCAATGGCGTGTGTTCATACTCATACCCTCTGCTCGCGTACCAGAAACAGAGCGTGTTGTCCAGTTTTGATTGCACATGGCCTGCAAACGTGAACCGAAGTGTGTTGCGGTGTTGACTTTTGGTCTTTTTTCTTGTTCCGCCGTGTGTTTGCTCCGTGTGTCACCCGCGACCAGTCAAAAACGCATGCCCGAGAGAGGCCTTTGGCCGACGACATGCACAAACAGCAGCCAGTGGCGTGTGGTCATACACATACCCTCTGCTCGCGTCCCAGAAACAGAGCGTATTGTCCAGTTTTGATTGCACACGGTCTGCAAACGTGAATCGAGGTGTGGTTCGGTGTTGCCTGTTTTGGACGTTGCTTTTTTTTCTGCCGCTTGCTCCGAGTCGAGTGTGATCAGTGTACAACGCATGCCTTCAGAGAGAGGCCTTTGGCCGACGACATCCACAAACTGCAGCCACTGGCGTGCGATGATACACGTGCCCTCTGCAGGCGACCCATAAATTGAGTGCTCGGTGTCTTGTTGGTCGCACACGAGCCAAAACCGTGTACTGAAGCATGTTGTGACTCACAAGAACATGAATCAGCCTCTTTTATCCTTCAGAAAAAAACATACCTCGAGGAACCCCGTAAGACGGTCGTTTGGATCTTGATAATTTTTTCCGTGCAGGCCACCCCCCCCAGACCGAGAGAAAAAAAATCTCCGAAATAATCATGCCGTAAGACTCAGCGTTAATATTAACATTTTTTTCTCAGTTTTTTTTGTTCCGTTCTCCGTTTTTCCAACCGACGGACTCTCCTTCTAGGACGCCATTTCTCCGGCGGGCACCTAATTTTTCTTCTCTGTTAGCTAGCTGTAGTAGGGAAGGGGATCGCATCAGCAGTACCCTCGAGAGCACATACGTACACGAGTACACCACGCACACATGGACACACTGCCCAATCTGACGGGAAAACATTCCAAGGAAAACGCTTCATGCACCCCAACCAGTGGGGTGACTGTTGCTGTTGCGTTCGTCGGAAGGCCACAAGAGCCACGCAAAGAGACAGCCCGATATCCCCGCAATTTTGCAATCCCACGACAACGCTTGCTTTTAGGTACACAGCGCCGACGCTGCTGCACGAACCACCGAAAGAAGAAATTGACGTGTACAGCGTTGGGGAGCCGGAGGGAGAAGAGCAACACGTGCGGAGAACACTTGCTGCTGTGTCGGGGTCCAGTACATAATAGCTGTTGATTTTTAGGGTTGGTTGTCGGCAGCAAAAGTGATCGCCAGGCGAAAACACAGCGAGCGGGAAGAAAGAGGCAGGAACAACCGCCGAGGACTCCGAATTTTCGAGGGGCAAGAGAGATTATAGAGAGAGAGCGTTGGGAGCCGGAGATGGTCCCGAGGCAGATGGTCCCGAGGCCTACATAAACGCTCGAGATGCGTCACCCCGTACACACCCTCACCTCACCGGGCGCGCCTTTCGTGGGATTCGGGGGAGGTCGATGTTCAGCAGCAGCAGCAGTAGTGCCTCATGTTCAGCGAAAAATTCCGCAGAAGTATATGCAGACTAATAATGTACCAGGTATTGTACAACACCAAGGAGATTCATGAGACTCACCTCTTGGCTCAAATTTGCCAGCACCAGCCTCGTGTTTGCGAAGCATCGCCCGCCGGTTTGCGCGAGCGCCGGCAGCACGGCCGCGACGTCGTCCTCCTCCCCTCCAGCGTAATACAAAATCAGGTCGGCGTTCACCAGGGTGGAGCTGTGGCAAGTCGTCGGCCATGTCGCCAGCGAGCTAAGAGCCTTGCCAAGATCCCCCGCATGTGCAGGCACAACTACCGCTAGCCTTCTCGCTGGCTCCGCCCGCACCACCCCATTCTTCTCCTCTTCCGACGGAGCAACGCCAAACGAAGAAGAAGAGGAAGCTGGCGCTACTGGTCGCAGTTCTGCTGCTTTTGTCGCCACTTGCGGAGCGGTGGCGACGGCATCGGGCTCTCGTGTGTGTGCCGGAGGGTGCGCTAATCGCCAGGCTTCAGGAGGAGTGCCCTGCTGCCCTCTGCCCATGTCACTGCTCCCTCTGCCGCTGCCGGCATTGAAAAACACGACATACTCCAGCAAGAACACGGACCCGGCGAGCACCACCAGAGCCGCAAACCATGCCGATATTCTCGACTGCGACGAGTTGGCCGGGCTGTTGCCGCTCCGCAAACCCATCTAAAGCGCGTGCTCAAAGGCGCTCTGATGTGTGGAACGTCGCGCAGGCGATAGGGTCGTGGGCGGCAGGTTGCATATACTCCGGTATGCGAATACGAGTCCGAATCACGTCAGAACCCCACCTTCCCTAGGGGTATTACCCTGCAGCAGATAAAATCGTGGCGAGCCAACCCGATGACGGAATTATCCGGTCGCTGGAGGCTGCTAGAGGCGAAAAGCAGCAGTTCGGCCCAGCAGCACTTGCTGTTTGACCCCTCTCCAACTAAAACCGTTCACGGGGACTGCGCCACTGGCGCGCAGACAGGGGAGACAGCGCGTGTCCAATCCTCTCACAAGGCGACCTCTGTCTCCGGGAAAAAAAGGGGCGCGAATATTTGCAATCCATGGATTATAAAAGAGAACCACAGTCCAAACATCCGGACGGATCGAAACCCCGGGAAACCGCCCGGAGTGTCCCCGAAGAGGTTCTCCTCTCTCCCTCTCAAATTCAATATTATCTCGGAGCCTGGATCTAACGCCCGTTGTCTTCGGAAGCAGAGCTCTCGTCTGCAGCAACAGCCTCAACAGTCCATACTGCCATACTGGCACATATTTCACGCCAAGGCCACCCTTCGCACCCGGGATGCCCAGGAGACGCTAGGCCTCAGAGGAACAGGAGGACACGACGACACACAACGCCCCGTACTTAGAGGAGTGCTCGTCTCTCTCTGTGTGTGTGTCTATCCGCGTGTGGTGCTGCTGTTGTTGTGCGTTTCTGCTGCTGCAAGCAATTGTTGCTGTAGATTTTGTGAACTACATACAGCAGTATTCTTTTTTTGGTAGATATAACCTGCTGCACGGTGCTGCCGTGATGGATGTCAGTCATCATGGGGCCGTCAAAATCTGTAGGCATCGTTTAGTTCGCACACCGCAGGCCCGCTCAACAAACTCGAGACGCGGCTCACACGGTTTTCTTCGCAGAGCACACAGGTCGACAAGCACAGATAGACGCAGAAAAAAACAAAACAGAACAATCAATATCCAACAGCGATTTGATGATAGACTGACCCCCACCAAAAAAATGAAAGGACCTGGATATGACCCCAACACGGCAAAAAAGGGGGCGGAAGAAAGAAAAGAAAAGGAAATGGAACAAAAGAAATAAAAACAGGACAGGAACCAGATGGCCCCATCGAACGCTACACCGCAACAACCAAATAGACATACAAACACAAAATCGACAACATCACAGACGGCGATCGGCGCAAAAACGCCGAAGCGAAAAATAAACAACACACCGAGCCTTGACCTGCCGCCGGGGGGGGACAAAACATCGTTCAGGCATATGCCCCGGTGACGTCGTAAACCTAGGGCCGCGTACCGCTACTCACGTACCCCAAAGTATGCAACACCGAAACTAGAGTTGGGACCCCGAAGTCGCGGCTCTCTTGCTACCCCCTCTTGTGTATCTTTCTGCAGCGCCAGGTCGTCTTTTATTACTTGTCCTAGCGGGCAGGCGAACAGTTCCAGGGTTGGCCATGAAGAGAGCCGCCCCCCGCCCTCCCGTCGTTGTAATTCCTACCCCGCCTGCTTGCGCATTGACCATCGTCAGAAATTGGTCCACGAGGGCTACGGCGACTGTCGGTGAAAAGCGATCAGACAAAATACTCGCTGGCTTGCCCGAGCTTCTTCGTTACGTCGGCGTACAACACTTGTCTATCCTGGTCCGTGGGCCCCTTCTCCTTCAAGTCCAACAGGACCGTCTGCACCGTCTGGCTGCTCCCAACGAAAGACTTCCATCTCCCGCTGCATCCCCCCACCCCCTCTCCCTCTCCCTCTCCCGCCGCCCCGTCCACTTCTCTCGCAGCGTGGCGGTTGGATACCACCCACCGAGGGCGGGCGACATCCGGCCAGTCCTGCTGCGGTGTTCCCCTCGCCTTTTCCGTCAGCCAGTGCTCGTGCAGGAGGCCTACGTGGAATCTGAATCGGGGGCTGTACATCATCGCCGCCCACACATGGCGACAAAATAGCCTGAGAGTTTGGAGTGTGCGGCACTGGCAGAGATGGCTACCGTCGGAAAAGAGCAAGACGAGGTAGTCGAAGGCCTTGTCATCACGCTGCTCGTGAATCCCGAAGACGTAAATGGCGTCGCAAAGCTTGTCCTCGATGTACTCGAACGTGCGCCCCGAAGCTGCCGCGCGTTCTGGTCCATCCACCTCCCCACCACCCATCTGGCAAAACGTGATGGCCGCGGTCATCTCTTGCTCCATGAACCGCCGCGGCCAGCCCGCGATGGAGAACTCGCAGGACTCGAGCACACTCTTGAAAGCGGTCGCTGGTGGAGCCGCCATCCGATTAGGCGGCAGATGGTCGATTGCGTCACGCAGCATGGCGGCATCCTTCTGGGAACAGATGATGCCCGAAAAGTACTTCGCCACGTCCAAAAGCGAGGAGCGCGAGTTGCACCTATCCCTGATGAGGGCGTTTTGGCCTGTTGTGTGTGCGGCGGACAAACACGCAAGAAGCGACACACAAACCAAACCGTAGGTTAGTGATTGGTGTCATCAGACATCGTTGAAGTCGCAGTACGCCAAACGACTGAAAGAGAAGCCTATGACTTGACGCACCCATCGCCACAGATGTATGTACACGTGAGCCGGACGATCGCAGTGCACCGACCAAGTACATCAATCCCGAACAACAGGGGCCGGACAACAGCCACATGTTTCGAAGAGGTCGTAAACATTAGCGTCATGTAGGGAGTTGTTTACTGGTCATCCACTGACGGCGTACGATAAATTCGTCCAGAAGCACTCACCAATGGCATAGTAAATAGGGGGCAAGGAAGATAGCCGCCCCCAACCCCTACAGACGTAGAAAAACTCCCAAAAACAACGACAACGCTATATGCGCTGTCGTTCTCGAACAAAACGCTCATGATGGCAGATGACGCATACACGCACCTTCAACTCTTGATGTCGTCCACGAACCCACGGAGAACACCAGGGGCGACACATATTCCGCCCACCGTGCACGGTCGTCATATACTACTTGCATGTACTTCTCCGCCTTCGGGTACTTTTCGATGAGGGCGTTGAACTTCCGTTCGAACTTCGCCAATGACAGCTGCTGACGCACACACCTGAACTCGTCCATGAAAGGCTGCGGAAAACACAAACGACGTGGGCCGGGTGGGTGTTGCGTGAGTTGGGGCCTTTGCGATATGGGCTACCGGTCTGTACGATTGACTGCCACCAACAACCCCGTACACTTCGTTAGCGCTAAGGCGAGACGAGGAGAGGGTTGAAAAAACTCAGCGACATACCATTGGTGCTTACAACCTGCTGCTGCTGCTGCTGCTTTTTCTGTGTGCACTGGACGTCGTGAGGTATGTTTCCGTCGAAGCCGAGGTCGTCTCCGCATCACGGTCTACGCAGAGACGCTGGATATCACTCTTCCAAGTAGGCGACACTGATCCATGACAACGCACCAACTCGCACAGGGGATACAAGCGGGAGTGGGGGAGGGGGGCTAGAGTGGGCAGCGTACGTCGCGCGACCAGGACAATACGAGAGGCCAGACTAACCACGCCAACACACACAGTAGAGCGCACCTTCATGTACCCACCAAGGACTTTAGCGAGGGCCTTGATAACGTTCTGGTTGAGGTGCCATAAATTGCGCCTCGCCAGCGCGTCCGGGAACACCTCTCGCACCGCCGCCGTCATCGCCGCGTCCGCGTCCTGGATGAAGGTATCCGGCTGCTTCCCGCGAGACTCCAACGCACTCTTCAACATCCACAGGAAAGTGTCCGTTGTGGTGTCGGCCGTTATGCTTTGGCCGACGATCCGCGTCCGATACTCCGAATCGACGACAGCGAGCACACCGAGAGGCATACGGTATCTGTTCTTGACAGCGGTGTCGTCGTAGAGCGCAACGTGACCGTACCGATTCCAAAGCGCCACCTGCGTATTCGGAGCATGACGTCGAAGGGGATCGAGAGCACTTAATTGTGGGTGTGACGTGTGTTGGACGCGTCACAACGCACCCCCACCCTTGCCTACGGCGTGCTTTCGGTCAGACGTCCTACATTTGCGGACGGCGAAGCGGTACGTGCGAGATGCTAAAATGAAAGCAAACCTTCCGGCTGGGGAATATTCGTATGGGGCACAACGACCGGCGACCTACCTGCTCTTTCGTTTGCCACCAGATGTGCGTCAGGCGGCCGCTGTCATCCATCTTGATCTCGCACACTCCGCCGTCGGCCGTCGCGGCCATGACCTGAAATTGCAACATGTTAAGCGCCCGGAAACATCGAGGGCATCAGCGCAAAACCACGACGACGGCACGGCACACATTTTTTACCTCCAACATTTCTTGGTTTGGTGTCATGGGGCATATATTCTCCCGGTTGTCACCTGCGATCGTATGTGTCTTGTCGCCCGGATACCGCCTTGAGCAAAACCCAACATCCCACACACAAACAAGAGAGGCAACAGTCTCAACGGACACATGGACACACCTCTTCGTACGCATCGGCAGCATCTCTCGGCTTCTCCGCCCCGTGCACAATGGCAGCTGCGTTCTGCACCGCGCGCTTGTTGATGTCGATGTCGCTGTCCTCGTGCAACGCCTTCATTGCTTTCGTCACCTCTTTTGGCTTCATCCCATGACCTGCGCCGTATGGGAGAGCCGGGAGCACAAAAATAAGTGGCGTGTCACAGACAAACAGGGTAACAATGTGGAGGCGACAGCAGTACCACGCTTCAAGGGCCGTTCGTCATGCGGCATCATGACTACCAACCATGACAAACCGTGGGATACGACGGGAGCCACTGTAGACCTACTCCAACGAGTTCAATCTTCCTTGCCCCATATTTGATTCACAAGACAAGACAAATGAAACGTTTCGCCGTCCACCGCTGAGTACACGAAAACAGCGAACCGAACGTGCACGCGTTGAAAGGCACGAGGTGCAGCACAGCAGGGACAATCAATTGGCGTGCTACACCCACGAAAACAATGGCAGGGCCTCTACAGGGAGCCTTGATGTGGACCGGGGGAATGCCAGATACCGGTGCTCTTTTCATGGGGCCAAGGGGAACAGCAGCAGCAACATCAAGTAAAGCACACAAAAAAACATTGTGGGTGTCACGCCGAACGGCACGTGTCAAGCACCAACCCGTCTCGCCTGCGTTTCCGGCGGGGGGCTGGTGGTCAATGTCTGCTGCTGTTGTTGCTGTACGGGGTGGGCTTGTACAGGGTAGCCCGCAAAACCTCCGGCGGCCCCAGCATCGGGAGCACCCACAGGGGCCGGAGTTCCCAACGGCAGACCAGTGCGAGGTGAAAGCATGGCCTGCAACCGCACGCGAAACCCACCACGCGGCGGAATGGAAGGACACCATGTCAACGTTTGATCACAAGACAAGACAAATGAAACGTTTCGCCGTCCACCGCTGAGTACACGAAAACAGCGAACCGTACGTGCACGCGTTGAAAGGCACGAGGTACAGCACAGCAGCGACAATCCACTGGCGTGCTACACCCACGGAACAAACATTGCCGGTGTCACGTCGAACCGCACTTGTCAAACATCAACCCGTCTCGCCTGCGTTTCCGGCGGAGGGCTGGTGGTCAATATCTGCTGCTGTTGTTGCTGTACGGGGTGGGCTTGTACAGGGTAGCCCGCAAAGGCTCCCGCAGCGCCAGCATGACGAGCACCGTAAGAGGCCGACAGAGCAGCACTGGATGGAAGCATTCCTAGCAATGACACTACCGCACGGCAGGCCACGGGTCCCACGACGCGAACATGGAGGGTAGACACATGAAGTTAAGGGGTTGGGCAAGTGCGTGCACAATGCCTGCACCTCTACCAGCCCAGCACTGCTGTAGCACCACCATACAGCCGAGCAGCCAGAAGAAAAGACTCCGGACTATACGGCAAGGACAACAGGCAGGGCCTGGCCTGGCCTGACCACACCAGTGCAGGCACATGATCACCAACGTACGTACGACGGCAACAACAGGTACAGAGCAGCATCGACACGTGGGACAGCATGAGGGAGGCTGCAACACAGGAGACAGACCAACACACACATGGCGCTGGTGCGGGTGCGGCCGTTGCTATTTTATTTCCAAAAAAAACATCACAGAGAGGGTGAGGGTGAGGCACAGACACAGAGGATGCACGGACGCCTGTCGGGACGGGATCTCACCAGTTATCGTTGTGTGTTGTCTCCTCGTCTTCCCCCAGCGTGCGGGTGCGTGTCGCCGCCTTCAGACGGCTCTCCGCCGCCGTGATTATCGCTGCTTTTATAGGAGAGGGAGAAGAACCTCTTCGGGGACACTCCGGGCGGTTTCCCGGGGTTTCGATCCATATGGATGTTTGGACTGTGGTTCTCTTCTATAATCCATGGATTGCAAATATTCGCGCCCGAAAAAAAGATGCTCCGGCTTGTTTTCCTTTTCACGCACGAGCTTCCCCACGCCCCCACCAGACTAGCCGTCCCTCCTTGTCAATGCGATGCGTCCTGTTGTAGCTGGTGCTTTTCGTCCGTTGCCCAGGGCGTCTCTGTGCACGACACTTTCGTTCTCTTCTGTGAGTGGAAATTCAATTTAGCACTCGGAGAGGGCGGACCCAGCCCCTGCCCGCTGACTGCTGAACCGCCGAAGGAGGGTCGGAGATAATCAACTCTGCGTAGCCCCTCCCTACCTCTCTTGTCTCTCTTCTGTCTGCCCCCCCGCCCCCACGTCCTCCTCTTGTTGTCTTGCCTTTCATCATGCTTCACTGCTGACTCGACGATTGTGTGCTTGTCCATCTCCCTCGGCCAGCTCCTTGCTTGCCCACTGATACATGCGTATCGCCCACCTGCTGCCATGCAGCCCTCGAGTCCGACATCCAGCAGAGGGTGCTCCCGGAGCAGCCAACAGTTCGACCCCCAGTTGCTGCTGAACGCGGCTGGATTTTCTCCGAAGGCGCCCCAGCAGACCCATCATCCCCCCGGCGTCACCTCACAGCCTCGCGGGCATTGTGTTGCAGCCCCATCTCCAGCGGCTGCTCGTGGCGTTGGTCGGGGTGCTGACAGCTCGAAGCAGTTTAAGTGCTCGTTCTGCGATAGACTCTTCTCGACCAAGGGAAACAAGGTGCGGCACGAACAAGCGACTCATCTGCAAGGGGTAAAGACCTACCCTTGCGAGGTCTGCGGGAAAGAGTTCAAACGAAAGGAGGACCGAACGATGCACATGCGAGTTCACACAGGTAGGTCGTGTTTGCTCGGTTTTGTCTCTTGTATCGGTTGTGCTTTATGGTGCTGTTTAGCTGGCGCCGTCTAGCCTGCTACCGACTTTGCTAAGCCGTGAGCCTGTGGTATCATGGCAGTCATCCCTGTCTTTGACTGCGTACTTGCGCGTACGTGTACCAGCATTTCTGTATTTGCGCGTAGCATAGGAATAGGCTACATGCACTTGTGTGTGACTCCGGATCGGAACTCTTCGGTAGAAAGGCAAGCCCATAGGATAGTCAGAAAACTGCGAGCGAAGGTTAACAACCGTTTAGAACGCCTTATCGCCGTACTTACCTCTCTACTCAGAACGCCGCCTTATTCTCTCGGATCGTTTTTTTTTTTTTTCTGTGTGCAGTAGGTGTCCCGGTATAGTGCCGGTAAGTGCCCAGGAGCTTAGACCGGCACTATACCGGCACTATAAGCCGGAGGAGCTTAGACCGGCACTATACCGGCACTATAAGCCGGCACATTCAGGGTCTAAAAACCCCTGAATAGCGCCGGATTGGCACTATTGAGGACTGTTCGACTTCAAGTGTGCAGCACTCCCGCTTTACGGGGCTGACAGAGTACCAACCGAATGAATATGGATTGACGTGGGCGCGCTACATTATACTTGAACAGACATATTTGTTGCAACACTGTTATCTTCCCACCTCAGCGCACACACTAAGATAGTGAACGTTGCTGCTGCCCTTAAACCGTAGACCGTGGTGCCCGATCAAAAGGCACTTCACATTTACATGTAGTGGCAAGAAGGCCGTAGCACTATTCAGACAACGTCAAAGGCACCCCTCGACAGCGAAAGAATTTCGCTCATGCACGCACCCGATGTACATTTGGGAGGTACAACGTGGATGTGGAGCTACTTACATGAGCACAGCAAAAGCAGGTGCAACCCAAAGGAACGAAGAAGAAAACAATCTTCACTCTTCCTTCAATAAAAAGCTGGGGTAGAGAAACAAGAGATAAAAAACGGCCGCAAAAAGAAGCGCTATGCTGAACCGCTGAAGCTAGCTAGCTGATCTACCGCCTGGCCCTCTGCGTAGAGCTGGTACAGGGTCTTCAGCAGCAGCACGGTATCTCTACCGGTGGTGATGCGTGTGTATGGCGTCTATGTCTCTGTGTCTTTCTTATGAGCATCGACCGCGCTAACCGGCTGACCAACAAAAAGACGTCAGGCTCGGTGCGGCTGAAAACAGAAAATAATTGTTTCTTAAGGCCCTAATCTGGGACCCTGTGAGAAGGTGTCATGGAGGAGGCTACACTGTACCAACAGAAAAAAACTGCTCGTGTCTGCCAAGGCTACCACTTTGCACAACGCGTTCTCGGAGTGTTTTCATCCTTATCCTTGTATTTTCCACCATTTCGGGCGTTCATCTCTAGACTCTGCCCCCTGCGCGTTTGTTGTGAGGAAGGTCATCTGGCTCGAAACTCTTGTTCCCTTCAACAACATATTTCCCTCCTCCATCATCACTGCTATCCTTCGCTTTTCTTCCCTGCCCACATCCTTTGGTCACTACCATCCTTCTTTTTGCCCGCCTCACTACTACCGAAATCCCAACGTATTGGCTGAATTGGCTGTGGTGGAATTTGGTCGATCGGTAAACCATGACATTTGAAGACGTCACGAGTTCGTACTGACAGAACTCGAGCTAAACTTGTAGCTCGAAGGTAAACCGTCTGCGAATCCTGTTGGTGTAGAAGGCCTTGAGGCGCAAAAAGGCTGTTTGTGTGGTGTGAACCGGCACTATTTACGGGTGCAAAAGTGCCTGAACCGGCACTCTGGCTGTTTCAAGAAAATTTACCGGCACTATACCGGACTTTGGCACTATTCAACCGGCACTATCCCGGAACACCTACTGTATGTACCATTTGGTGCGGACGATGGCGGTCCTTTACACCGTTCGGTACTTTTCTGGACGCACCAGTCACCCCAGGGGGAAAGGTGGGGCTAGAACACAAACAAATAAATGGACATATCGCTGTGTGCTGCTCGGGAAATCGTGGAAATACAGGTAGCCTTCGCTGACGCTATGGATTCATTGCATTAGACTTTTCTAGATAGAGAGGGATTCGTTGGGCCATATTAAGAAAAAAACGTTCCTGCGTGACCTTCCTCTTGGGTGACCCCGGCTGATACGTCAGGTATAGACGCCGAAAAGCCTGTAAACCGGCGCCAGAATAGATGGGACGAACATACACGCAGCATACCACGATATCCTGGCTTCGGCTGGGCTTGAATTGCCCCTTTTGCTGCCCTTCACTCTTTGTATCAGTGGCTTCCTACGTTAGGGCGAGGGCATGTGTGGAGCTATGATGTGTGTCTCTGTGAAAGAGTATGTAGAGTCATATTGGCATTCGCATTTAGCGCATTGCGCATTAATTTTGGCCCGCTTCCGCCAGTGACCTTGATTGTACCCGCTGACACTGTCGTCTTTTCATTGGTCAGCCGGTTAGCGCGGTCGATGCTTTTAATAAAATACGCGCACCAGTCAAGAGTTGTATTTTCCGATTTTCCTTCTGCGGTGCTTGCCTCAAGTTTTATCGCGAGAAGGATTCTGTCGTTCCTTTCCCTCGTCCACCTGGACATCGAATTATCGCTTTGTGGTATGCATACATGCCTACACCCCTTTTCATGGGAGCACAAAGTTGCGAAAAAAGTTACTTCCAAGTACAGTTTTTTTTGCAACTTTTGGTCGGGATATTTTGTCCAAAACCCTTTTTTTTGTTGCACGGTCAGTATGGGGCGAACGGAGTTTTGTTCACGGGACTGGTGGAATGCGGAGGCGCCACCTTTTTTTTTAGCAACGGCGAGAAGCAGGCACACCCCTTCATACCACACCGCGAAGAAACCGGCAAGAGCGTGCGGGAGAGGGTAGTTGCAACCTTTTTCTCCACACGTACGATACCCCAAGGCATGTAACTTGGTACCAAAAAGAAGCTGGGTAGAGCTACCTCCCTCGGAGTGGCACTGCTGTTGCTGTTGCTCCTTCGAAAAGTCATCGCTGGGAAACCAAACCATGAGCACACAATCCCCGCGAACTTGAACCAACCGCTCTCTGACGTGCGTGTTTTAGGGTCAACCACAAACTTTTTTCCCGACGCGCACGATATCCCACGATGCCTCTCCTTGGGCATCAAAAACGGAGCAGAGAGCTACCTCCCGACGGCTGGCCTTGCTGTTGCTGTTGCTTCCTCCTTCGGAAAGTTATCGGTGGAAAACCAAACCTGTGGCGGTCAAACACACCGATCTTGAACTTACCCGCTCGCGGCCGTTGGCGTCCGTGCGTCAACACAAACTATTTTCCCGAAGTATTCGGCGCCTCATGGCGCCAAACCTTGGCATTGCCCAACAGCCCATGGCATCACCTCCTTCTGGATACCATTCATGAGGCAACTCGTTTAATATTCGTCGAGATATCGGTGAACACAGTGCCGTGCAATCGAAGCTGTAGAGGGGGTCTACATTTGTGGTAGGGGTAGGTGCTTGACGTGGATTGGCGGAAGTCTCGCTGCGTAACTTTTATTCGACACGTTCGTCGCGAGAAAAGTTCACGAACTTTGTGCTCCAGACCGCGCGATTTTTGTCCAAAGCAAAATAAGTTTTAATTTTTTTGGCGCAACTTTTTTGCTCCCGTAAAGAGCGTACATGAGGAAAGTTGCGAGAAAAGTTTGGAAACTTTGACTGTTTTGCGCAACTTTGTGCTCCCATAAAAAGCGGTGTTACAATCATGTGAGAATCCCAGTTCGTGTGACTGCATCGAGATTTGAGGTGCGAAGTTACTTACTAGACCTCAAGCCCGATACATTCAGCTGCTCGAATAGAGGAACCGCCGATATGGTGGCATCAAAATCTCTTGTCACACTCCCAACCCGATATAGTGACATTTTGCCACTATAGAAGACGGGGCCCTCAATAGTGGTATTTGGGAATCTCACACACCCAATAGTGGCAATTTGAAACTTGGAACTCCTGCGCACTGCGCACCTACGCACACAGCCAGTATTGGGATTTTAGTTTTGGCGGCGACGAAGAGGGTGGTCGTGGTATGGAAGATACATCTTGTCGTAGCGAAGAAGAAGCGGAATACAAAACAAGGATGGAACCGATGATGGAGAGCGAGAGCTTCCAGCCAGAAGAATTGCCGCACAATCAACGCCGCAGGAAAATAGAGAGGAGTGGCCAAAAAATAGTGGTCATATTGGCGAGAGTTGTGGTGAATGTAAAGAGGATGATGAAAGCACTCCGAAACGAAGACTCATGCAAAGTAACATTGGTATAATCGTGCAGTTTTCTTCTGTTGCTACCGTTGCTGTCTCTGATTTGGAGAGTAGGGTAGCCTCCCCAATGACGCCCCCTCACAGGGTCCCAGTTCATAGCCTTGAGACTTATGTTTTCAACCGCACAGAGCCTGACGTCTTTGCATTGGTAAGCCGGTCGATGCTAATAATTAAACCACACACATCATGCCAGCAACTGTGTGTGAATCCCTCTAGGCGCGAAGCATGTGGTGACGGCGGTTGGGGTTTTATGCACCCTGGGGGGGTGATGTTCGGCGCTTACGGTTTGGTTACCCCAGTTGATTTCGCGTACTCCACTGTTGTCAAAACAATTTTTTTGTGTTCGTTGTGTTGAACCCATCCTACATAGGGCCCGCCGGTATTTGCGTGACTTTACTGCTGTGTGGTATGCTGTGTTCTCAAGTTGTCTATATTACATAGATATCTATCGCTTGACGAGCAAATGTTATTTCTCACGTGGTGGCCCGAGATCGATGAGGCCTTGTCATGTAGATATACGAAAACCTGCTGTGTTTCGTTTTGCAATACATGCCAAACTGCGAAGAGTCAACATAGGCTAGTAGTACAACGCATACAATGTGAGGACCCCAATGGACAGCTGCCGGTAGTGTAAGCCTTTTCTCCTCAATGGTGGCATAGTTACCTATTGGGGTGTCAATAGTAGTGAAATGCCACTATAACGCAATAGTGGTACTGCCTTGAATAGTGGCATGATGGTCATCTCCCCGTAGGTGCCACTATATCGGG